GGCCTGGGAGACCATCAGCAGGGGTGCTGAGCAGCCAGTGGGCCAAGCTGAGAAGGGGACTAGACCCTGATAGTCTGCCGACCAAGGCCAACTGGGGGGGAGGGGCAGCCACTGCACTGGCCAGCCGGCTGCAGCTCCCCACATACCTCTGCAGGCCTGGAAGCCCTTCTCTACTTTCTCAGCTAGCTGGTCCTCATCCTATATGATCCCACATGGGCATCATCTGTCTGGGCCTTCTCTGAATCCCCAGGTGTGTGTGGGGGGGGTCCCCATTCTCCAGTCCCAGCTTACTGCTCACCTGCATTTCTCTCAGCATGGGGCTGTACTCAGTCAGGTTCTTAGCATGTTGGGTACAAACCCAAAACCCTCCCCAGATTTTTACCCTCAGTGCCTGGTACAGGCCCACTATGGACAGAACCCTAGATGGCAGCAGCTTGTTGGTAGTGTTGGAAGACTTCATGAGAGATGGAACCTTCTCGAGAGGGGGGTACAGAGACTATCCAGTTTATATAAACAGAGCCAGTCCCTGTTAGCCCCCGCAACAGCCATGCTTCCTTTGGCTGCCCATCTGGCTAACCGTCTTGTTTTAGCTCAGCACCAGTGTGTTGTGGCCACTGGCCATCCAATGAGCCCATGCCTGCTGGAGCTGATCCTCTGTCCATGAGCGCATGAGCACAGAGGTGCGGGGCCATAGGAGTCCATCCCCAGCATTCACACTGTTTTGGCAGCATGAGCTCGACTTCTCCAAACAAGCTGCCACCAGGATCTGCTGGATGTCCAGCAACATGAACAAGCTGGGCCCTGCCAGCTTGTGGTCACCCAACTTTGCTTATGCTCTGTTCATCGCCGGTGTTCACCAAAAACGGTTCCAGTGTGGTGCAGGTCACACACTAGGAAAACCATCACCACTAGGAGCAGCCAACCCAGACCAACTACAGCACCGAAGAGAATGAGGTGAACTGGCCCTATGGCCAGGGGCTCAGGGACGGCAGCAGGTGCCAGTCACCTACCTGGGGCTTGATTGTTCGGGGCCTGGCTAAAGGCACAGTGAAAGGGTGAGGTATACACTGGGACCAGAGAGGTCCAGGTGGTGGTGTGAAACAACTGGGCAGGTGCTGGGGAACAGGATGCCAGTTAAGCTTAAGAAGTTGGGCCTTTTCTGTAGGCAGTGAGGGGGCAATGCTGGTTGGAGAAGAGATACAGTAAGACTGGAGCCATGAATGGGACACTGTGTGGGCAGCAGACTAGAGGAGCAAGGAGAACTTGGAATTAGCAGTCAGGCACTCGGTGCTGATAACAAGAAGAGGGCATGCATGTGAGGGGTCGGAGGCCTCCAGAGCGTGGTCAGAGGAGCAGTAAGTCTTCCTTTCTGTGGACCAGAAAACCTGGAGAGGGCCAGGTGAGTAGGCAGGACTCTGGCGTAGCTCTGATGGGCTCTGGATGTGCATGGGAGGTGAGCACTGCAGAGGAGGGCTGGTGGGCATGTACCTGGAGGCAATCCCAATCATCAGGGCCCTGGGGAAACAGAGCCCAGAGGTAGAAGAATCCACAGCAAAAGAGTGAAACATGGGGAAGAAGATCAAGTCAAGGAGAGATAAAAAGGCTCGACCGGGGCAACTCCAGCAGTCCAGGAGGGAGCACAGGAGGGAACCAGGGGCTCTCAGATACACAGAGCACCAGGACTATTCAGCTGGTCCAGCCAGGATGACCTCCTGCAGGGCAGGCAGGGTCAGGTAGGCTGCCCCTGGTGCTGACAATGGAGGAAGGGCCAATGGGCAGGGCTTGTAGGAAATAGGAGTAACAGACTGATTTTGTTGTTGCTTTTTAATTTTCTGATGAGCTGACAGGAGCCATAGGCAGCAGAAGGAAAGAGGAGAGGGCCTAGGAGAGAAGGGGACATGACAGTAGTGGACAAGACTCTGGGGGACAGAGGAAAGTTTTTGATACTCATACCAGCAGGAAGGTGGCAGGGGAGGGGAGGGATGGAGCAGCATCAGAGGACAGGTGCGTCAAGGGTCTCTGGGACCCTCCAGTCTGCTCTCTTGCTCGCTCCCCAGACTTGATCCAAAGCTGACTTGGCTGAGCAATGGGACCACCATCTTCCTCCCTCGACCGTGGCAATAATACAAAGCTAAAGAAAATGAAATGTGCCTCCAGATAAACCCACCAGAGTCCTACATACAGAAGCATCTAGAAATCAGACAGGTGCCTCAGAGTTCAGAGCTAGTACTTGAGCACTCTCTGAAGGACTCGTAGCCTTCTGCCAATCAGTCCCTGCTCACTGACCATTCGGCCTCTCTGGGAGGCCCTGGCCCCCAGCCCTGCTCCACCTGCAGCAGTTGGTTGTACAGACAATAGTTAGTGACACAGCAGCGCAGCCACCCGAGAAAGGCCCATGGCAGTTACTATCCGGGCCTATTGTGCTAGCCTGTGCTGGCTGCACACTTGTCACACAGCAGCTTCTGGACAAATCTCCAGCACTGGGTTTGAAAGCTGTGACGAAGGCACTTCTAACGGGACTTTGGCACTTAAGGAATTTTTGCTGTGCTTTTCATAAGATCACAGATTGCGTTTTTTTTTTTTTTTACTTTATCAAGTATACTTTTACACTTGGACAATATGCTAAAACACTGTGCTATGAAAGTTCTGATTCAGGAACAGGCAGGAATGAAATCAATAAGGACGGCTGCCAAAGCTGTTGCCTTAAGTGAAATGATTAGTAACAACTAATGGACTCTTTTTTGAACTCTTCAAGAAAAAGAAGCAACACACTTTTCTAGCCTGCAAAGTCAGAATCTCCTTAGTGAGTTGGCTACACACACACACATACACACACAGCCCTTGGGAACAGACATACTGTGTTACTGCTATGACAACTGACTTTAATGTCTAAAACAGCAATTCTTAAAGGGTATCCAAAGGTATGTGTGCCACAAGGCTGTGTGAAAAACTCTCCTTGGGCAAAGGCAGGAAATTATACCTATGCAGTTGTATCAACATTCCAAAGGCTCTGAGAACGCCTGCAAAAAAACCTTCCAAACTTTGATTAAATCATGATGTCTAAGATCATTTGACCAAATAACCCCTTTCCCTGTTTGTTGCAGAACTCACTGTGAACGATGGGCCAAACCATCCACCACTGAGCCCTACAGGCCACAGGCATTCAACTGTGCTAAGTGAGTCGACAGCATGTAAAAACATTTGGAGATTTTCACATTAAGAAATCAAACATCTGCTTTCCTTGAACCATGAACTCTCCACCCAGCCCACAGGTTCCTCCTCCCTGCTGGACATGCACACCAGCACCACAGTGCTTCTGTCTCACCCCAGACTTAGCCATCTCCGCAGAACCCTATGGGGTACTTCAGATTGGGTCCCTGCTGGCAGGTTGCTGTGGCTAGCTGTTGCTTGGTGATGGGTGGGGGGAGGGGTCATCTGGGAAACACTGGAATGGGTAGGTGTAGGCAAGGGTGGGCCCTGGGAGTTCACAGCTCTGGAAGATAAACTTAGCAGGAGAGGCCTCTGGCTCCTTTCTGGAGTGCTTACTGAGCACATGCCCTCCCTCAGCAAGGCTTTGCAATTCCACCCTTGCCCCTGAGACACAGGCTCACTCCTTGCCTTGTTTACTAAGGAAGGATCAGAGAAGACCAAAGCAACTTACCCAAGCCCTGCCCCCAGTGAAATCCTTCCAGCTCTGGACTCTGACCTGCCCTCAGAGAGCCTGTGAAAGCCCTTCAATCTTACTGTTGCCCTGGCTACTGGGCGCTCAGCCCCACCCTCCATGCATGAAGCCCCACAAGCAGAATTGTTTCTTTTTTTCCTTTGAAAATCAAATGCTAAGAAAACGATTTGGGACAGTGAGAACCATGCAACTGTTCACATTTGCCCATTTGCCTCTGGCTGCAAAGAGGCTGGACCACAAATACTCCACGTGTCCTGTTAGGTTTTTATGTTCAACCATTATGTATGAGGTAAGCTACCTCAAACCCTGTGGGGAACGAACCTGGACACCTGTGGCATTTTCACCTGGCCAAGTCCTTCAAGTTGCTTGACACATTCCTGCATCCAGAATATACTTTACAGAGGAGAAGGACCTGGTGCTCATGGGCGTGGGGCCTGCCCTGACCTTAGGATTCACAGGTCATGAGCCACCCCTGAAAGGCACAGCTTCCCAAGCCCTTCCCCAGAGCCTATCCAGAAGGTTTGATGCGTGAACAGGTGAGCATTAGGGTCGGGTGAGTTTGGGGAACGGTGAAATAAAAGGGCACCACTATGAGAGAGTTGTTTTAGTAACGCAAGGGTTAAGTCGGACCGGCCACTACCGAGGTGGGCCGGACCTTAGCGGCAGCCAACGTCCTAAGCATGTTTTCGGCTTTGGGCCTTTTCCAAGCCTACTGCATTCCACAAGCAGCTCCGCTCGCAGGTTCCACTGCGACTTTGGAAAACTCTGAGTCAGGGTCCTTACATCCAAGCTGGTGACAGAGGCGGGCGAGAATGAATGGTGGCTCTCAGGGCGGTTAAGCCGCAGAGGCGGTGCCGGGCGCTGGCGGGGCTCGCTCCGCAGACCTGCAGGCGCGTGCAAGCAGTGGGCCGCGCGGGGTCCTCCGCCCCAGCCCAGCCCCAGCCCAGCCCCAGCCCCAGCCCCAGCCTTGGACTTGGCGGACCTGCAGCCCGCGCCCACAGTCCGCCCCGGGCCCTCGGGGAAGGCGCCGTCCCACTACCCTGCGCTCCCGCCCTGGAACGGATCCCCAGCCTCCAGCCAAGAGAAGTCACTGGATGCGGCCCTCGCGCCCAAGTTAAGGGGAGCCCCCCTCCCCTAGAGTTAGGAGACCCTAGGGAGCCGAAGTCCCTCGAGAACCCTTAAAACAGTTGAGACAGGTGTGGACGGCCTTGGGAAGCAGGGGCAAGTCCCCGAGGCGAAGGTGGCAGCCCCAGCGGCGGCTGGAGGGAGTGGGGCGCAGCGCTCTTGAGCCGCCGTGCACGTGCGCGCCGAGAGTTACCTTTGGGCGCTCGCAGGTGTCCTCTCCAGTCCTTGCAGCAGCACAGCCCCATGGCAGCAGCCCGCGTCCCCGCCGCCCACCGGCACCCCCTGGGGCGGCACGGCCAAAGCCGGCGCACGGGCAGTGCCCAGTTCGGCGCGGGGTGCGCGCGGGGCCGCCGCTCCCGGGCCCTCGCGCTCCGCCGCGGTCCCGCGCCGCGGGCACCCCGACCTCGAGACAGACCCTGCTAATCAATAGGAGAACGCTCAGATCGCGCCGCCAGCGCGCTTTTATCTCCTCGCGCCGGGGCGGCCCCGCGTCGGCTCCCTGCCCTCGCGGCGCCCTCCCCACGGCCCGTTACTCTCCCGGGGCGCCGAGCCGCTCTCGCACGGCCGCCACCAGGGGGCGCTGCGCGTGCCGCCGCCGTCGCGGTCTCCCTCCTCCACCCAGGAACTGACCCAGGGCTGGGAGTCACGCTGGCAGGGCCTCTGCTCAGCCTGAGACCAAGAGGTGCCTCGCTGTGCAAGGGCGGCGCCTCCCCTTCCTCCAGCATCCTCTGAGAAACAGTCACCTAATGGGTGATTGGGGGGCGGGGATGGGACGTAGTCCAGGACTACCTGAGCTGTGTGCCAAAAGCAGGAAAAGAGTTTGCTCAGGTGACCCCTAAATCTAGATGGACCGTGTGACTTTAGATAAGTCAGTTCCCCAAGATTGTTTCCTTACCTGAAAAGTCACTTAACACAAATTAAAGACTTGATAATAATGGTTAAACTCTGCATTTGATAGAAGTGGTTAGTTTCCCCATCTAGAAAACGGAGAGAGTAACAAAAACTGCTTCACTGGGTCATTGTGAGGATTAAATGTATATATATTACATTATTAAATGTATATACATACACACACACACACACACACACACACACACACACACACGTTGCTAAGTGCTTTGCAGCTGTGAACTACCAGCCCCAAGTGGCCTGAGGATCTGGGCAGAGGGTTACTTTTACCAGAGGGTGTGTTTGGTGTAATCACTTTGGAAGGTAACGCTGGTGCTAGTTATTAAAAGTAAAAATGCAACTACCTGCCGGGTGCTGGTGGCTCACGCCTGTAATCTTAGCTACTAAGGATGCAGAGATCAGGAAGATCGCAGTTTGAACCCAGCCCAGGCAAATAGTTTGTGGAAAAAAACTCATCACAAAAAAGGGCTGGTGGAATGGCTGGAGGTGTAGGTCTTGAGTTGAAGTCCCAGTACCACAAAACAAACAAACAAACAAACCTACCCTAGCACCCAGCAACTCCAGAAATGCATGCCCAAGGGCCCAGGAAAACTATATAGGGCTATTCATTGCAGCTTTGTTTTAGGTACAAAACACTGGAACCACCAAAGCCTTCTTGAGTAAAAGAATGGTCAAATATGGCTATTTTCAAAAAATGGAAGCAGATATAAAAGGAGGAGCTAGGGCTCAGCCTTTACATTTATGGACTAGGCTCTCACATAAAACACACCCCACAAGGGGCTGGAGTGTGGCTGAAGTGTTAGAGCAGCTGCCTAACAAGCTCAAGGTCCTGAGGGGTTTGAAAACCCCAGTACCACCAAAGGGAAAAAAATACCACACCCAAGATATTACCATCGCATCCATTTTCTAGGCACTTGGGCCTAGAAATATGGAGGGGGAGGACAGGAAATCAGGAGTGGCTTCTTCTGGAGGAGAGGGTAGAAGACAAGAGTGGGGCAACATGGCCTCATTGTCTTATAGTGGCCTCATTTCGTAAAAGCATATTCATGTATTATTGTGTAAGTAAACAAATGAGAGAAATTATGCTTTTTTTTTTGGCGGCACCGAGGTTTGAACTCGGGACCTTGGTCTCACTAAGCTCTGCCACTTGAGCCTCGCCTCCAACACTTCTCCTCTTCTTTTGTTTGCATTTGTGCAGTGCTGGAACTGGAACGCAGGGCCCGCGCATGCGCTCTGCCACCGGGCTACATTGGGGGCGCCCCACTCCCTACCCCCGGCCCGCGGGGTTCTTAAAGCGAGTGTCTCTCTTGCCCCTCCAGTCTGGACCTGCTCCTCGTCCCGGCGCGGGGCGCTGTCCTTGACTCCCCTGGGACTTTCTCCCTTCCCCCCGCCCCATCCCAGCCGGAGGAGCGAGGCGGTCCGGGAGGCCCGCGCGGCGGGGCCGGCTGTAAGGCCGAGGCTGCGGGCTGAAGAGCTCAGCGGAGGGGGGAGGACCCTACTGACTTCCAGCCGGGAGGAGGTTTTCCCAGGAGTTAGTCTTCATTCAAAGGGGAGATTAACAGCAGCGCGGCACATGGCTGCCTCCCTCTCCCTTAACTACTCCCCAGAAAGACGCGAGCGGGGCTTCGGGGAGACCCTGGGCTGTCCTGCCGCAGGTCCGGAAAGAAAGATGTTTTCCCTTCGTGACATGTAGGCGGGGCTACGGAGAGAGTAACTGAGAAAAACACCGGGAGACCTGACTTTGGTTGCTGCCCAGTCATTTTAAACAGTTTTAGCACCCGGCAAGATCACTTAGTCACAGCGGGCTTAATGAGGCCCCATGAATTCCAGGCTGGAGCTCCCAGTATTCAGGGAGCGCATCTGGGGCCGGGGCCGGGGGGGGGGTTGTCTAACGGCCAAGTTCTACATTTGGGAAGCAAGATTTAAAAGAAAACATCACAACGGCCATTGTGGGCCGCTTGTTTATCTTTCTAGGAGGAAGTGGCAAAGCAAGATCTTTCAAATGAGCCTATTATAGAGGGTCAGCGTCCCTATTGAACCGTTCAAATATATTTTGGGATACTCGACTTTTCAATGTGGCTTTAAATATCAACTCCTAGGGCAGTTCGGCAGACAAATAGGAAGGCAAGAGCTCCCAGTATTTCTGCCTGTGGTTTCACACACTTTAATTCCTGATTACACATTGTCTTTTTTTGTAATGTATATAGTTTTCCTGTTGTGTCTCTTCCTCAAGGGGAAAGGAAAGTAAGATTCACTCTGTTGTTTCCCACCATGTGCCAAGCAATTCACAAATGCTATCATTCCAGCTAACCACAGGACAACACCATGAGGCATCTGCCCATTTAGATTCAGCTTACAGAGGAAGAAAGTCAAGTTCAGGAAGGTGAAGAGAACTTCCCCAGTCAATGAGGAGACAAGAGGCAAAGCCAAGACAGATGGTCAGATGGATGGAGGACGTATGGATGTGTGGCTAGGGAGGGATGGGTGAATGTGTGGATAGGTGAGTTGATGGATGGATGGTAGATAGGTGGATTGTTTATGGAGAGGTGAACTGATGAATAGGTGGTATCATGGGTGAATGATTGGATAGATGAACAGCTGGATGGCTGGATGAATAGATGGTATTTCCCAGATTTGGTTCAGTTTTGGAAAAGCACAAGCTGAGCATGGAATTTGCTCTAAAAATCAAATTCCCTGAACATAGCTCTGCCTCTCCAAATTGATCGTGACCCCAGACGATTTTGAAAGGAACCAAAACATGAGGATCATCCAGACTGCAAAGCTCAGCTGAGCTCAAACTGCCTGCCCTACTCCAGAAGCGGGAGGTGGAAGCTCCCAGGGTATCCAACCTCTTACACAGCACAGGGCAAAGGGCAGCTCAGCTAGAATGGCAGTGGCAGGGAAGGGAGGTGATCCAGTGAGCACAGCAAGCTCTGGAGGATGACAGCTGTGGGGCCTGAGCCCCTGGTTCTAGATATAACCCACGGCATTAAGAACCTCGAGCTGCTCATAGCCCTGTGGCAGGAGTCCAGATTGCCACTCCCTCCTCAGAACATCCAGGGCTGCCTCACGTGCACCATCTCAGGATGTGAGCTCAGACCTGGCCAGGTTGGAAGCAGGATAAAATGGGGACATACTGAGGCAGGCTAGAATTAGGGAAAATTCGGGCCTCAGAAAAAAATATATGACTTAATATTGTATGTATGTGTAGGTTGCCCACAGATGGCTAGGACCATCCTCACCTGGCCCCGGGAACCACCCATGCACTGCCCCACTTGTTAATTATTGGCTGGGAATCACCTGGTTTCTCCCTTCCCATAGGTTAGCATAAGTTTTAAAAGCACCTGGAGAAGAAAAACATGCTTTCTCTGCTTCCTGGCTTCCATCTGTATTTCCCTAACTTTTAATAAACTCCAATTATACCCACGTGTTCTGCTTGGATTCTTCTGCTTCAGAGCAAAGGACTGAGATCTTCTGGAGATACTTTTTTTTTTTTTTTGTGGTACTGGGGCTTGAACTCAGGTCCTACACCTCCACCAGCCTTTTTATGTTGGGTATTTTCAAGAGTCTCGTGAACTATTTGTCTGGGCTGGTTTCGAACTGCGATCCTCCTGATCTCTGCCTCCTGAGTAGCTAGGAATACAGGCGTGAACCACCGCACCAGGCCTGGAGATACCTTTTGCTGTTAACAATACCACCTCAGCCACAGGTGTAGTTCTGGGGGGCTATTTATCTCTTTCCCTCCTTCCTTACTCCATGTGCAAAAGCTGACTGAACAAAGTGAAACACCTGAAGAAAGCAGCACAGACCGAGCTCTGGGGAGCACTCGGAAGTGCCCTGGGGGACACAGAGACCCAGTCTGCTGAGTGGGGGAAGGAAAGCTCTGTGAAGGAGGAGTCAGCCCTTTAGGAGCTGGTGTGGGATGGGTCCTGCAGTGGGCAGCAGGTCTTCTGGGAGGCGCCTCGGCATGGCCTCTAAGTGGGAATATAATGGATCTGTGATTCTCACTGACAGCCTGGTGGCCAAAGTACAGCCAGGACCAGAATGGGGAGACCAGAGCAGGGAGACGGCTAAGAAGCAAAGTCACAGTCAGGTGAGAGATGCAGGGCTCAAGACACAGCAGATCAGAGGACACAGTGGAGGTGGCCCCAGCCAACCACCCTTCCCAGTTCTCACACCTAACACTTTGGATCTGGGGTGGCTTATGACTTACTTTCACCCACAGAAGGTGGCAGAGGTGACTCTAGGCCAGTTCTGGGCCTGCGTCCTAAGAAGACTTGGCAGCATCTGCTTGCATCTTCAGGGAAAGTTACCCCTGTGAACAGTGTGACCATCCTAAATCCACTGTGTTGCAGGGTGCTTAATCAAGTGATCAGGACAGGCCATGTGTAGGACTGACTTCCGGCCCTGTGAGTGAGGCCACCTGGAACAGGATC